GAAAGAACATATATAAAATATATAATATATATATACAAAATATAATAAAAATTTAATTAATAATAAAATATCATATATTTACATTTTTATATTATTTTTACATTTTAATATCCTTTAATATATAATCCATAATCTGTACTAACCTGTTGTAATCCCAAACTTTGTTGATAAACTTGTTGCGTTTGTTGTTGATATTGAACCATAGGTTGGCCACCTATACTACCCATTGCTTGACCTAACATTTGTTGTTGAATATTTTGAATTCCTTGTCCTATAAATAAAAAATATATTAAATATTTATATAATTATATTAATTATTTATATAATTTATAAATACAAATAATAAATATATATAAATTATTTTTAATTGCTTGTATAAATAAACATTATATAAATCACATTAAAAATACATTATATAATTTATGATATTAATAAATTTGTTATTAATAAATTTATTCAATAAATATATCTTATGAATTTAATTTTCTTAATTTAAATTTCTTTATACAATTTATTATATATAATTATTATGTATAAAAAATTTCTATTTCTAAAATACTAAATAATTATAAAAACATTAAGAAAATAAAATAAATATATCATTATTTATATATTAAAAAAATACAATTTCTTTTCTAATAAAAATTTGTATGAAACTTGTATAAGTATAATATAGTATAATATATAAAATATAAATAAGATTGCTTATAAATAGAAAAAAATTAATTTATTTCAAAATTAAAATTATTACAAATTGAAGATGTAATAATACTAACATTCTATTCCTACAAGTTATATTATAATTTAATTATATTTTATTTATTATTCAAAAATAAATATTTTAAATCAATTTTTGACGTTTCAATAGTATTAAATAAAATATTTATAAAATATATTTTATAAATATATTTATTGACTTGTATAAATTGTAACAGAAACTTGGCAACATTGTTGACTTATACACGGGACGATATAATAAGATATCTTATATTAATAATAAAATCAATATACCTGCATTACGAACCCATGGTGGATTTTTGCCACCTCCAAATGGTGAAAGATTACTCATTTCTTAAGAAATATGTAATATTATTAATAATACAAATTTAACAAGATTTTCACTATATTCTCAATTGAGCGTCCTTCATTCGGGCGCCATCTTTTTAGCTACTACTACTGAAATCAAATACTATTCTATTTCAGGAAGTAAATTAAATTTAAAATTTTTTAAATATATATTCTTTATGAAATTTTCTATAAAAGTGTTATTTTGTTTGATACTAATTTTTCTAATTTATTATTTAATAAAAAATAATTATTATTTTTTAGATAATTATAAAAAAAATTAAGATAAATTTTAATTTGATTCTATTGTATGTTTAGACGCATAGGAAACATTTTCATCAGATTGAAACTGAATGAAAACGCATATATCTTGTTTTATTATCAATCATCGATATCTAATATTTTAATGTATTTGAATTAGTTCATTTTTAAAAAATAATTTTAAATATAAGATAATATTTGTAATTGAATATTTATATAACACAATTATAATAATATAATGTATTATAATAATTCAAATAAATTCATTTTTACTTCATTATGATGACAATGAACCAAAACGTCATATCCGGCGTAGATGCCACAATAAAATTGAACAGAATCATGATTGGTCCACAATCAAGATTATCAAGATCCAAGGCAAAGCATGACATAACATCCTTTGGTTATGTCAAATGAGTTGTATTAGTATAATTGCATGTTCTCTTTTCATTATAAGTTAAAACAAGATTTCTTCGAATTTATAAAAATAATATCCTCAAGTGAAAGAATTTAATAAGAATATGAATGTAATAGATTAATTAATAGATTAATAGATAATTATTTAATATAAAACTTAAGTAAGTATATAGCAATATTTTCAATATTCAATTGAATATATATTAATTTTATGGATAAAATTATAATAAATAATATATGATATAATAAATAATATCATATAATTTATATTGATATTTTTAATAGTTTACGAAATATAAAAATATATTTATAGCTATTATTATTTATATTATTATTTATATAGCTATTAAAAAATATATTTATTATTATTCATTAATAATGAAAAAAAAAATAAAATATATTGTAAATCATATATATGATAAAAAACTTTAAGGCGCAATCATAGAAACGTAATTCAAAATCGTATAAATTTCAAGAATTAAAAAAATTTATTATAAAATATTTAATTTTAATAAAATTATATCTTTAAAAATAATATATATAACTAACACTATAGATTCCTAGATTAAAATTTTATTTCAAATTTTATTTTTTTTTAATTCTATAAATTTTAACAGAATACTATTATTCTTTCTGTTACGTGATCAAAAACAAAACATGCTATTGGTTATTTCACATTGCTGTAGGAAATGTTATACGGGATTGGTCAAGCAGGAAAAGCACGTTTGTCGTTCAATAATTATCGATATTAAACTGAAATCGTCGTTTTATTACATAATAATTCTATAAAACAGTAAACAATTATCTTTGAAAAACAATACAAACAATATTATTCAGTAGAAAGAAGAGATTAAGCTGTCTAAAATTGATTTTTAAAGAAGTAAGCTTTGAACATGGCGTTGAGATCGATCTGCCGGCTGTCAATTGATTCGACCTTCAGCCATTTGAGCCATTTGGGAGCCACCGCCCGGCCGAGACGATCGTCTTTCGCATTGCTCGTACGAAGTTTTGCCGTTATTGCAGAAGAAATGGGTTTGCCGCGAGTTTTCTTCGATATGACCGCGGATACTAAGCCTGTGGGTCGTATCGTAATGGAGGTAAGTGAAAATTATTTTCAATTAATGTAGTTTTTATTTCTAAAACATGTTATCGTTGGAATCCCGGCATGATTGGCCATCTTGGATTTTCTTGAAAGCCGGTTATGTGAGACGATTTTCGATTAGAATTTTCCTCAAAATTGTTATTATGCATATTTTATTATTTGAAATAATTATTTTAAGCGAATAAGACTAAATTTTTTTTCATTCGATATTGTGAAGCATGATACATATAAAATGTAATATATATAGTATTACTAATTTTTTTTGATTTCTACTGAATCGTAAAATTTTCCATTCACGATTGCCGCTGACACGTTTGATTACGTATTCTGTACAGGTGAAACTTTAGCGCGTAATTATAGAATATGTCTAAGCAAATTTTTTTGGTAATTTTAAATGCTATATAAGCTTAAAATATTGTAATTATGATTTTTTACACATGTTAATTTAACATAGAAAAAAAAAAAAATATGAATAAGTTATGAACACGTCATAGCTAGAGTGGAAGTGGTAATAATGTAATTTCATTTGTATTTAGATATGAACGTTAATTCTTACTTATATAATTTTTTTATATACATTGTGTTGTTATATTAATAGTAAAATTTTCCACTTCAATAAGTAAACCAACTATGTAGTTGTGTATATATATATATATATATATATATACTATATTCAATATAATATTTAAAACATTGATTTTTATATTATATTAATTTAATTTCTATTATATATATAATTATATATTTATTTATAAGTAATAATTTAATTCAATGTATAATATAGAAATAATCATCAAATATTTTGTTTGATATAATGTTTTTTAAAGAAAAAAATTGATTAAATTTTCAGTTAAGAAGTGATGTTGTCCCAAAAACTGCAGAAAATTTCCGAGCCCTTTGTACTGGTGAGAAGGGTTTTGGTTATAAAGGAAGCAGCTTCCATAGAGTGATCCCAAATTTCATGTGCCAAGGAGGTGATTTTACCAATCATAATGGCACTGGTGGCAAATCTATTTATGGTGTGAGATTTGATGATGAAAATTTCACATTGAAACATACTGAACCTGGTATTCTTTCCATGGCTAATGCTGGTCCAAACACTAATGGTAGTCAGTTTTTCATTACCAGTGCCAAAACAAGTTGGCTTGATGGCAAACATGTTGTATTTGGAAAAGTTGTTGAAGGAATGGATGTTGTTAGAAAAGTATGTAATTATATTCTTAATCTTTTGCCTTATTTCATACAGATATATAGATATTTAAAAAATATTTTTAATCATATAATAACTCATAATTGATAATATATGATAATAATTTACAAAATATAAATTGAATTTTTATTACTTCTATTTTAAGAACTTTAAAATATAAACTTTAAGATATATTTTAATCTATGAATGATTAAATAATTTAGTATTACTTTTTTTTTTAATATAATTTAATATTGTTTTTTTTTTGTTTTAGTTGGAGGCTATGGGATCTCAAAGTGGAAAAACTTCCAAAAAGATTGTAATAACTGACTGTGGAGAAATGTAGATTGTTCAATTAGATACTCTAATGACTGCATTTTTATTTAGCTGTTGCATACAACTGTTGCTATCTTTATTGTATGATTCATTCATTCTAATCATCGCCGCCATTTTTCTTTAATATTATGGATTGAGTTTCATATAAAAGAAAAAAGTGTATAATTTTTAAATTAGAATTAACAAATCAGCTGCATTGTACAATCTTTCATCATAAATAATTGAAGTTGGAATACGTAATGAAATAGAATTTATTAATATGAATTTTTGGTTTGTTTTTTTATTATAAAAAATCGTTCAATTTCTCATTCATCATTACCTGTAATAAGCAACATTCTTCTAATCAAAGTAATATAAAACAAATGAACAAAATTTAGATCCAACATTCTTCCATGAAATATTTCTCCTTTAATGATATTAAATTATATAGCACACTAAATGTGTATAGATGAATCGTGCATTTCATAAAATAATTCTTCTATGTGTCCTACTCATATTTTAGTATCCAATCAGGATAAAATTCGTAAGCAAGGTCCATAATTAGTGTTACATGATTGCTGTACAATGCATTTATCTGTGACGTTACGGAATATTTTAACTTTTCTATTGTGCTTTTATACTTAGACCCATCAAAATAATGCTCATGTTATCTAGGGCATTATTCGTTTTTATATGTATACACCATTCCTTTTCTAAGCACACAAGATAATAGAGATTTGATTAGTGTAAACTGTAATATCAGATAATGCCTTTAGGTAATTCCATCTTATTTTGATGTAACACAAATGTTGAAAGATGTAGTTTCAACGGTCACAGTAATTGGGATTTCTATAAAATAAAATTGTTTTCAGAACTAATTGTTGTATATTTATTATCATAAATAAAGTATGAATTCCTTTCAATGGAACCATATTTTATTAAGTTATTTTATTAAAAGAAAAGGTTCATTTCATAAATATATTTTATAATTTTAATTTTTGTTTATTTTTAAATTTAAACTTATTTAAAAATTACATTAGAGATTTCATATTATAAATTTATGCTGTAAATTGAAATTGTTTAAAAGAGGAAAAATATATAAATAAATTTTAATATGGATTTTTCCACATTAAATTATATATATATATATATATATTGTATAAATATATGGTTGATAAGTATAGATAAATATAATCTGAAATGATAAATGAAAATGTTTTTATTTTGTTCATTGATATGGCATTTTTGATATGCCTTTTACTATTCATAATTTTTATGCACTTTGTAGTAACATAATCTAACATGTAATGTTAATTTCATTCAATTTTAACATTAATATAAATTAAATGAAATCATATGATATAATCACATGATATCAATATTAATCAAAATAAAAATATGGATTAAAAAGATGCATTAATTAATAAAAATAGAAAAATTGATATGTAATAAATAATCATTACAAATAATCATTAATATTTTGAATTTTATTTTTAAATAAATACTGTTTATTAATTGACAATATAAAAAATATCATATGATTATATTTTTAAATAGTTATTGATTAAATTTTTTTTAAAAAGAAAAAAAGAAAGTAGGTTAAACTTTTGCAGATTTTATTAATTCTGTGAAAGCTGAAACCATAAATACAATATGAGTATTATATCAACGTTATTTCGTACAGGTAGCCACACATGTACGTAACAGTCATATTTAATGA